GCGCGCTGGACGGGCCGCCACGCCGCCAGTAGGGACCCCGCCGCGCCCTCCCCGGCCACACCGCACGACACGCACTGCACCACGTCGCACGCCACACCACACCACTCCAGATCCCACGCCACGCGCCACCAGCACCTCCGATTAGCGCAGTTGGCTACGTGCGGGTGCGATGGTTCAACACCCACATGTGCACGGCACGCCACCACAACACAGCACTCACCACACCGCACGCCACTCCGTGTGTGTGTGTTGCGTGTAGACGCGTGGCTGGTGGTGGGGATGGTGGTGCTCTCGGTGCTGCTGCTGGCGCTGCTGCTGGGGGCGTGGGCCCTGCACTACGTGACAGAGGCTCCCGGCACCCTGCCACGCGTGCTGGTGAGCACACGCACACACACAAAGATCCCCCGTATAGCCTTAACAGACTGTTGGGGTAAGTGCTAATAGTGAGCACCTACAAAGGCCGGTACAGCACTCGAAGGAGTGGGTGGTCAATACCATGCCTGGCTGCCTTTGTCTACCCAGTGGCGATGTTTGCACATTGCCCCAGGTACTCCTAGGGGAGGCCCAGCACCGGTTCAGATAATTCTCATCACTGGTGTTGGCCGTGAGCGGGAATCAAACTCGGGTCGCCGGGTTCCTAGAGCTAACCACTACATCACCGCTCCCCCACACACCACGCACGTACACACACGCGCAAATAAACCACACGTACACATACCACACACGTACACACACCACACACGTACACCACACACACGTACACACCACACGTACACCACACACACATGCATCACACATGCATCACACGTACACACACACACACACCACACACATCACACACGTACACACGTACACACACTAACACGCCGTCCCCCACGTGTGACCCGTGCCGGTTCCCGCTGCTGGCGACGCTGCAGGCGACGCTGCTGGAGGCCGAGGTGAGACCCGGCAAGAGGCGGCCGCTTCACAGCGACAGCCGCCCTCTTCACCCGCAGCACGGCGGCGGCGACGAGAGGGAGGACGAGCGGGGGGGCGACGGCGACGAGGGGGAGGGCGACGAGGGGGAGGGCGACGAGGGCGGCGATGACGAGGGGGGTGATGACGAGGGGGGTGATGACGAGGGGGAGGGCGACGAGAGGGAGGGTTACGAGGGGGGCGATGCCGAGGGCGTGGACGACGACGAGGGGGACGACGGGTACGCAAGCGTCGTGCGCGGGTTCCCCGCCCCCCCGGTCGCATGGCAGGCGCGCGGCGCGCGCTGCCCCTCATCCGACAGCGGCTACACCTCTCAGCTCCCGTACTCCTCCTCGTCCTCCTCTTCGTCCTCCTCGTCCTCCTCCTCGCGCTACGTCAACGTGGCCGCCATCCTGGGCCTCCGCGAGGACGACGGCGCGACCCCGGGCTACGTCGCCACGGGGCTGGCGAGCGGCGTGCCCGGCCGGCCGCCGTGCGGAGACGCGGGGCCGCCGGGCACCGAGGCATTGTGGGAAGACTGCGGCCGCCCCCCGAGAGTCGGAACGGAGGCATTGTGGGAAAACTGCGGCCACCCCCCTGGACTTGCGGAACGAGGCACGGAGGGATTGTGGGAAAATTATGGCGGCCCCCCGAGAGTCGGAACAGAGGAATTCTGGGAGAATTATGGGGCTGTCGAAGATTATCGGCCCGGTCTCCCCTCCAACACAGCGCCCGGTGAGGATGAGGCAGCCAATGGCAGCCAGGACGAGGTTGGAGTGGCCCGGGAGACACAGCAGGCGTCGTCGTTCTGGGCAACAGCCTCCTGCAGGGACTCGCAGAATCAATAAGCAGACAACACACGCCTGCGTCCCATATCTCTCGCCCTGCCAACTAAAAATATAAAAGTACGTTTCACACATTCCGTCAGCCACACGGCCTGCCTTCATTTCAGAGGCGTTGGCAACGCAGAAGCAAAACTCTAGATGAGTGTCGACATCCAGTGTCTCATCAGTCGTGCCAGGCTCGCTTGAATCGATGCAGGTGAACTGCCACATGTTATAGGCAAGGCCCTGTGTTTCAGATACGGGGGTCCTCGTTCAACGCATAAACAACACACAAGCGAAAAACTCGCCTCCTCTATTTATCCCTCCCCCAAGCGAGCCCGATGCCAAGTCTGGAAAACTGGCCCAGAATGTGATCTTGTGTTGAACAAATGTTGCCGAAATCCCAGAAAGCCAGTGGGGCTGATGGGATGTGGCAAAAAAAAAAAACTTCATTTGTTATTTTACAGATGTGTTAATGAGGCAGAGTGTCTGCTTATGTCTTCTTGGTTCTTTCGGTAAAGTCACGTAGAAGGGAAATAATACAATAATAAAACTAAAACATAATAAAATACAATTCTCACGACGTTTCGGCCACAACGCAAGCAGCCGTCCTCAGGTGAAGAACAGGGCTGTCGGAAAGACAGCGTCTTATTTTATGTGTTTTTTAGTATTATTTTATTATTTCCCTTCTACGTGACTTTACCGAAAGAACCAAGAAGATGAATCCCTACAGTCACGAAAGCTTTAAATCGAAATTTGTCTGCGTATGCTCGAGTGAGACCCGGCCAGTCTCCTGCGCGAGGGTTAAAATATAAACCCGCGGTTCGCGCACCACGACACTAACCCGGCGCACCCGAGTTTCATTCCCGCTCACGGCCAACATCAGTGGCGAGCGACATTCGAAGCCGTGCAATACCCCGGGGTCACCCCCTCTTCAACGACCCCCGCAGCGGTCAGCGCGGGGCCTGGCTAAACGACACCGGACGACCGACATTGGGGAGGGCCTTCATCCAGCAGTGGATGAAAATTTAGGCCGTTAGTGCTCAACAATCACAAGGCGGCGAGTTCAAATCCTAGCAGGGTTGGGTGTTGACTCAGCCCATCCATCCCTCTGGGGTCGATACAATTACTACTTCATGGGGAAGGTTGTTATTATTATTAAAGTGGTCGTCCGATGCAGAACCTCTACCTCGCCATAGGAATGTGGAATTTCCACCACTGGCTCTGCAGGGGCTGCAAACGGGAGATGAGCACCGAAGCAATACATCACTCTTGAGGTGCGAATCGAGTTTTTTCTGAAATCGATTCTCATTCACGATTACACTCGTTCACCCAGGAGAGCCACGCCGAGTCTCAAGACTCGTTTGCGGGAGGGTCCTGCCACTTGCTGCGAGTGATCCCAAGTGACCTTTCACTACAGGGATGATAATGGCCAACATTGGCGACACTTTCCGTGGGTTTAGCGGACCAAGGTCTCTTACCATCCAGGAACGTCCAGATAACGTCGGCCTGCTCTGCTGTTGCTACACGTTGCGGTTTGTGTGCGGAACCAGTACGACGACGCGTGTGCGCGCGTGTAGCGGGGGAGTGGTGGCGCAGCGGTAAGCACACCTGCACTACAAATCTAACGGACCTGGGTTCAATTGCCGGTCACGGTTAACATCAGTGGTGAGCGACGCATCTCCAGTGGTGTAGGGCCTCCTGTGAGGTCGGTTCGGTTGTTTAAACGAGTACCCGGCGTGGTGTGCAAACGTCAACACGCTTGGAAAGACAAAGGTGGCCAGCAGTGGTTCTGGCAACATCACCCTCCTGTGTGCCATGCCGGCCTTCATCGGTGCTCGCGAGTAGCATTTTAACCAACAGCCTCTGGGACTCTATGGAGTTTGTCATTTGATATAATTGTGTGGTATAGGCCAGTTAACTCAGTCAACCCATCGCACCTGGGTCTGTCCCGTGACCTCCTGCCGGCGGGCGTTCGACACTTCACGTGGCCTTAACATGCACAGACTGGCACAAGCGCCGTGGTGACGTCACCCCCACTTAGTAGCGAATGGCGGTTGTTCTGTTTGCGTGTGGCGAGCCAGTTGGTGAGAGTGGAGCTCCCTGGGCGGTATGTTTGTGACCAGCTCCAGTTTGGCAGCTGGGTCCTCACTCTGGGCGGCATTATCTTGTCATCATCTGCGAAAAGCTGTGTGGAAGCTACCTGGTCTGTCATTTCATACGAAGCTCCTGGTCTTCTCGGCCACAGTTATGTCCTCTCTTCTCTATGCTTGTGAAATGTAGTTTGACACATTCAGGCTGGCCTGAACTACGATCCATCCTGGGTTTAACCAGGTTGGATTGGGCGAGCTCACAGATACTTAAAAGATCTGGACACCATGCCATTCGTAAGTTCCTCTGGCAGGCGAGGGTGCATTGGCTAGGTGATGCAGCCTACATTCCCCGGCACCACATGCCCAAGCAGTTTCTATTTGGGGATGAATAGGCACGGCACGGGCTGGAGAAGAGATGGGCTGATGCGGTTCAGCAAGATGTGGTGCCAATTGGACTTGCCGATGACTGGAGCCAGCGGTGTCAAGATCGGCCTCCATGGAGGAGGCTCGTGAAGGACACTACTGGGCAGTTGGAGGCAGTCACTCTCCAACAACAACAGAGGACAGATCGACGCTCACAATAACGAGCGGAGCACTGGGCGGATAAAACGCAACAAATTGGCACAGTGATGAGCAGGTGACATCTGCCAGCCATCTCAAGTCAGTCAACCCATGGCACCTGGGTGTGTCTCGTGCACCCGACCTGGAACGAGCGCCGTGGTGACGTCACCGGCACTTAGTGGCGAATGGCGCGTAGTGGTATTGCTGGTGTGTGGTTGGTCTTAAGCGTTTGGTATACGTGCGAGTGGTATGTACGCACATCCCGTATCCCTTATGTTTGGCAGAGATGAGTGGGGGCAGTTAAAATTTTAAACCTGACATTTCATAGCAACTTTTTAGTCAACATGTAACCGAATAACCATGATAATAATTATTAAAACTATCCTGTATCCAACATTCCTGCCTCGGAACGCGTTCTCTTGCAGCGGCAGAATAAAACCCGTCCTGAAAAAAAACGAATTATTACACATGCCGCATGGTGGTGCTGGTGGTGGCGGTGGTTGTGGTGGTGGAATTCAAGCAACGGAAACACCTGCACACGCACCTCACTCACTCGATGACGCGGCTCCACGTTTGAATTCCATTTATTTGAAATCTGAAAACCTCCCCAGAGTTTCCATGGCGGTTATCCCCGCGCGCGCTCTGCTCCTTAGCGGAAAGAAATGTAACCACGATCGCCGAGGGAGGGAGCGATGACGGAGGGAGGGAGGCGATGGGAAACAGGTTAGTGGTGGGAAACGAGAGCTGGGTGGAGGAGGAGGGAGGATGAGGAGAGGGGAAGAACGGCCATCGCAAATGTGACTCGAGGACTACCTCGTCGCACGACAGTCCGCTCACAGCCAGACGAGCCAGGGCTGGTCGGGGCTGCCCGTGAGTGGGTGCCGTGGAGCTCGGGGTGGGTTACACGGCCAGAGCACAACGAGCAACGGGGAGCTGGAAGTCAAAGGACCCAAGATCAGGGAATCCCGCGATCGGGCAGACCTGTTCTCTGGGGGGTATCTGGGAACTCAGTCGGTAGCCATAGCGATGGCGGTGCCCCCCTCCCGCCTCCCACGTCTCCACCGCCCCCCCGCCACCGAACGTCTCCCTTAGTCGTCTTCCTGGATCTTGCGCAGACCCTTCACCTTCTCCTTGTGTCTCTCGATCTCCTTCTTCAGACGCTGGATCTCGGCCTCCGAGTGCTTGATCTCCTCCTCGTGGTGCTTGGACAGAGACTTCAGCTGATCCGTGTTCATCTTCCTACACAAGACAAAGATCTCCCTTATAGCCTGAAGATATTTTGGGGCCAGTGCTGTTAGCGAGTAGCACCTATGGAGGCCGGTACGGCACACGAGGGGGTGGGTGGCCAGCACCACGCCCAGCCACCTTTTTCTCCTGAGTGGCGATGTTTACAAACCGCAACAGGTACTCATTTAAGGCCGAGTCGACCTGGTGTTGGCTGGAATCAAATCCACACACCACACAAGACAAAAACCCCCCATTTAGCCTACATACTCACGGGGTCACACGCACGGACCCAGTAACTTCATATGTAGCTTCCTCCACTCATGCCGAGGCCTCGGTTGATACCATCCACACTCTGTTCAACCACCCCGACATTGCAGGTCACAACACAAAGATCCCCCATATAGCCTTTAGCAAACTGATGGGGCAAGTGGAACTATGAAGGCCGGCATGGTACACGAGGGGGTGGGTCGCCAACACCATGCATGCCTCCCTAGTGGCGATGTTTACTCATCGCACAAGGCATTTAAGGCCGAGTCGACCTAGGGGAAAGCCCCAGGACCGGTTGAGATCATGGTTCCTGTTATTGGTCACGAGCGGGAATCGGGTCGCCAGAACTCGGGGCGCCAGGTTCGAAGCACAATGAGCTAACCGCTGCACCACTGCTCTCCACAACACACACGTGGATGCTCTCCCACCCACTCAACTTATCCACCCCATTTCCTTACACAAAGTCAAAGACCCTCTTGTAAAGCCTACACATGCTGCTGGGGCAAGTGCAACTATGAAGGCCAGCGTGGTACATGACGGGGTGAGTCGCCAAACACCATGCGTTCGTCTCCCTAGTGGCGATATTGACGCATTGCATCAGGTATTAATTTATGTTAGCGAGCAGTACTTACTAAGGCCAAACATTGCATACGAGGGGGGGGGGGGGTAGCAGCATGCCAGGCCGCCTTTGTCTCCCCACAGCTGATGTTTACAGACTGCACCGGATGCTCACACACGTTCAGGTTTTGCTGTAGCAATCACCCAGTTTCCTTCACGCTGCTGGTGACGCAGCTGCTCCCTGGCAAGTTTGGCTGCGAGAATTGTTCTCCAAGTCACCCGGGGAACTGAAGCTGAAACAATCGGGTTGCCCGTCGCTAAACGCTCATACCCAGCGTGGGAATTTAATTCGTTTAGGCCGTGTCGGGTGGTGGGAGGGCCTCAACGACACAAATTTGGGTGGGATTATCACTTAGGCCAGGGGTCGGCAACCAAAATAACAAGAAGAGCCATTTCTTTCCAATTCGGTACAAAATTCAGTATTTCAAGAGCCGCAACGCATCTGAGCACATACTGTACATATCGTCAAGAAGCAGCCCTGTAAAGAGCCGCATGCGGCTCCGGAGCCGTAGGTTGCCGACCCCTGACTTAGGCCAAAGCTAAACACATCTGCTGCGTTGGCAGTGGTGCACGACCAACAAAAACTAAACACGCGTCAATAACACCACCGTGTGGCCATAAAAGGAATAAACTGTATAAAGTTGGTGACGTTTCTGGCCAAGGCCCTTCTTCATACCACGTAAAACAATCATCTTCACGAACCTGCTTCCATTCCTCCCTTAAAATAACCACCGTCTCTTCTCCCCTCGCCTAATCCTGCTACTCCTACTCTCTGCCCACCGCCCTTCAGCTACCTTTCCTATCACTACCCCTTTCACTACCCTTACCCCAATCACTATCCTAAACCCTATCACTACCCTAAACCCCATCACTACCCCAACCCTTCCTCAACCAGTCCCGCCTGTTCTCCTGTCACCATAACTACACTACCGCGTTTAATAACAACCCCCACTCTTCATCTCCACCATCAAGTGTACAATAGTATAATTGTTGTAAAGCGCCTCAGAATCGGACGCCATTTATAAACTCTACAAGTATCTAGTAAAGAAGTGAGGAAGGGTAATTGCCCAAAACGTCGCCAATTATATAACTGTCCTTTTAATAATAAATAATAATTTACACTTAAAGCGTGTTTCACCCAGAGGTCGCTAGTCGCTGCACGGAGCTAAAAGCAAGTCATTACCTCACGCAATTCTCCAACCTAATAGAAGCACGCAGGCTCACGATTTAACAACGGATACGAATACCCCCGCCCCACACCCCCAAAACACACAGCAAAACTAACAAGGAGAAAAAGCCTGTGAGAAAACATTTTTTAAGGCGGGAATTTAAATAAACCGACTCAGCAAATCTAATATCGGACAGGGTGTGGAGAATTCCACAGCTTGGGGGCCACACGGGAGAAAGCCCCGGGGGGGTTCACCCATCGAGTGGAGGTGCGCCCTCGGCACGCACAATAGCCCACACTCAAGGCGAGCGCAAGAGGCCTGCAGCAGGAGGGTGATGGGAGTCTGTGCGGTGGTGAATGCTGCCCCCAACGGGTGGCTCGGCGACAAGAGGGAGTCGTTCCGGCCAGGTGAGTCTGGGGGGTGAGCGAGGACCCGGCCATTGTGGCCTCCGGGCTTTGGTGGGAGGGCGTTTGAGGTGCAGCGAGCGAGTGAAGAGGTTCAGGTTCAGGCCAAGTTGCCGTTGTGTGACCAGGAGGGAACTCAGGAGAAACCAGGGTAGAGTCTCGTTTGCAGGAGAGACCTTGGGTCACGGAAATTACCATGGAACAACAATGTCAAATAAAGTACAGCAAAGAAGAAAATTGTCAATCACACCAAAAACAAGCGTGGGGTGAGCGGGGTGGCGAGCTAGTGGGGTGGTGAGTGGGGTGGTGAGTGGGGTGGCGAACGAGCGGGGTGGTGAGTGGGGTGGTGAGTGGGGTGGTGAGTGGGGTGGTGAGCGGGGTGGTGAGTGGGGTGGTGAGTGGTGAGCGGGGTGGTGAGAGGGGTGGTGAGTGGGGTGGTGAGAGGGGTGGTGAGTGGGGTGGTGAGTGGGGTGGTGAGTGGGGTGGCGAACGAGCGGGGTGGTGAGCGGGGTGATGAGTGGGGGGGTGAGAGGGGTGGCGAGGGGGGTGGCGAGAGGGGTGGCGAGAGGGGTGGCGAGAGGGGTGGCGAGAGGGGTGGCGAGAGGGGTGGTGAGTGGGGTGGTGAGTGGGGTGGTGAGAGGGGTGGTGAGTGGGGTGGTGAGTGGGGTGGTGAGTGGGGTGGTGAGAGGGGTGGTGAGTGGGGTGGTGAGTGGGGTGGTGAGTGGGGTGGTGAGTGGGGTGGTGAGTGGGGTGGTGAGTGGGGTGGTGAGCGGGGTAGAGAACGTGGTGGTGAGTGGGGTGATGAGTGGGGTGGTGTGTGGGGTGGTGAGAGGGGTGGTGAGTGGGGTGGTGAGTGGGGTGGCGAACGAGCGGGGGTGGTGAGTGGGGTGATGAGTGGGGTGGTGAGTGGGGTGGTGAGTGGGGTGGTGAGTGGGGGTGGTGAGTGGGGTGGTGAGAGGGGGGGTGAGTGGGGTGGTGAAAGGGGTGGTGAGTGGGGTGGTGAGTGGGGTGGTGAGAGGGGTGGTGAGTGGGGTGGTGAGTGGGGTGGTGAAAGGGGTGGTGAGTGGGGTGGTGAGTGGGGTGGTGAGTGGGGTGGTGAGTGGGGTGGTGAGTGGGGTGTGTGAGTGGGGTGGTGAGTGGGGGTGGTGAGAGGGGTGGTGAGAGGGGTGGTGAGAGGGGTGGTGAGTGGGGTGGTGAGTGGGGTGGTGAGTGGGGTGGTGAGTGGGGTGGTGAGAGGGGTGGTGAGAGGGGTGGTGAGAGGGTGGTGAGTGGGGTGGTGAGTGGGGTGGTGAGTGGGGTGGTGAGAGGGGTGGTGAGTGGGGTGGTGAAAGGGGTGGTGAGTGGGGTGGTGAGAGGGGTGGTGAGTGGGGTGGTGAGTGGGGTGGTGAGTGGGGTGGTGAGTGGGGTGTGAGAGGGGTGGTGAGAGGGGTGGTGAGAGGGGTGGTGAGAGGGGTGGTGGAGTGGGGTGGTGAGTGGGGTGGTGAGTGGGGTGGTGAGTGGGGTGGTGAAGGGGTGGTGAGGGGTGGTGAGAGGGGTGGTGAGAGGGTGGTGAGTGGGGTGGTGAGTGGGGGTGGTGAGTGGGGTGGTGAGAGGGGTGGTGAGAGGGGTGGTGAGAGGGGTGGTGAGAGGGGTGGTGAGAGGGTGGTGAGTGGGCGGGTGGTGAGTGGGGTGGTGAGTGGGGTGGTGAGAGGGGTGGTGAGTGGGGTGGTGAGAGGGGTGGTGAGAGGGGTGGTGAGTGGGGGGTGAGTGGGGTGGTGAGTGGGGTGGTGAAAGGGGTGGTGGAGTGGGGTGGGAGTGAGAGGGGTGGTGAGTGGGGTGGTGAGTGGGGTGGTGAGTGGGGTGGTGAGAGGGGTGGTGAAAGGGGTGGTGAGAGGGGGTGGTGAGAGGGGTGGTGAGAGGGGTGGTGAGAGGGGTGGTGAGTGGGGTGGTGAGTGGGGTGGTGAGTGGGGTGGTGAAAGGGGTGGTGAGTGGGGTGGTGAGAGGGGTGGTGAGTGGGGTGGTGAGAGGGGTGGTGAGTGGGTGGCGAGAGGGGTGGTGAGTGGGGTGGTGAGTGGGGTGGTGAAAGGGGTGGTGAGTGGGGTGGTGAGAGGGGTGGTGAGTGGGGTGGTGAGAGGGGTGGTGAAAGGGGTGGTGAGTGGGGTGGTGAGAGGGGTGGTGAGTGGGGTGGTGAGAGGGGGTGGTGAGTGGGGTGGTGAGTGGGGTGGTGAAAGGGGTGGTGAGTGGGGTGGTGAGAGGGGTGGTGAGTGGGGGGTGGTGAGAGGGGTGGTGAAAGGGGTGGTGAGTGGGGTGGTGAGAGGGGTGGTGAGTGGGGTGGTGAGTGGGGTGGTGAAAGGGGTGGTGAGTGGGGTGGTGGAGGGGTGGTGAGTGGGGTGTGAGAGGGGTGGTGAGTGGGTGGTGAGTGGGGTGGTGAAAGGGGTGGTGAGTGGGGTGGTGAGAGGGGTGGTGAGTGGGGTGGTGAGTGGGGTGGTGAGAGGGGTGGTGAGAGGGGTGGTGAGTGGGGTGGTGAGTGGGGTGGTGAGTGGGGTAGAGAACGTGGTGGTGAGTGGGGTGGTGAGTGGGGTGGTGAGTGGGTGGTGAGAGGGGTGGTGAGAGGGGTGGTGAGAGGGGTGGTGAGAGGGGTGGTGAGAGGGGTGTGAGTGGGGTGGTGAGAGGGGTGGTGAGAGGGGTGGTGTGGTGAGTGGGGTGGTGAGTGGGGTGGTGAGTGGGGTGGTGAGTGGGGTGGCGAGAGGGGTGGCGAGAGGGGGTGGCGAGAGGGGTGGCGAGAGGGTGGCGAGAGGGGTGGTGAGTGGGGTGGTGAGTGGGGTGGCGAGAGGGGTGGCGAGAGGGGTGGTGAGTGGGGGTGGTGAGAGGGGTGGTGAGTGGGGTGGTGAGAGGGGTGGTGAGTGGGGTGGTGAAAGGGGTGGTGAGTGGGGTGGTGAGAGGGGTGGTGAGTGGGGTGGTGAGTGGGGTGGTGAGAGGGGTGGTGAGTGGGGTGGTGAGAGGGGTGGTGAGTGGGGTGGTGAGTGGGGTGGTGAGAGGGGTGGTGAGTGGGGTGGTGAGAGGGGTGGTGAGAGGGGTGGTGAGCTCACTTAAAGTAGCGCTCCTCCTCAGCCTTCTCGCGTTTGGCGAAGGCCCCACCGGCCTCGCGCACCGAGCCGGCACGGTCGCCTCCTGACTGCGGGACAACCACCACCACCATCACAACAATCAATATCACCACAACCACCATCGCCGCAACAACAATTACCAATGCCACAACCAACATCACCACCACAACTACCACCACTTTTACCACCATCATCACCAATTCAAACACCAAAACTACAAAGACTATCACCATAACCACCAACAACCACATCACCACCATCATTAACAATACAACTACCATCAGCAACACCAAGAACACAACCAACTCCACCATCACCACAATGACAACCACCATCATCACTAATACCACAACCACCAACAAGCATTAACAGAAGCAGCTTGTGATTACGATAACACAATTGTTGAGGAATCAGAAGCCATCACATTAATCACAGTAAGCGATCAGCATTGAATCTAAAAGGAGTTTACCGCCCGTTAGTATCTGGGAAATTTGAAATCCGCATAAACACGTGGAGACACAAGAATTCTGACCAGGACACACCACGCGACACGCTGCGACACAACTGGGAACATCCCCCTAGTGGCGATGTTCACACACTGGCACCAGGTACTCATTTTAACCTGAGTCGACCTAGGGGAGGCCCAGATCGGGTTCAGTAAATCGTCACTGGTGTTGGCCGTGAGAAGAAATCGAGTCGCCAGGTTTGTATCGCAGCGCGCTGACCTCTACACTACCGCTCCCCTACGCACACACACCCCTCTCTAACACAAACTCTCTGGCACACCACACACATACATCACTCACACACTCCACACATCACTAACACGCCACACACACACGCCACATACACACTACACACCACTCACACATCACTAACACGTTCACACACACATCACTCACACTACTCACACCACTCCACACACACCACACTCACACACACCACACACACCACTCACACACATCACTAACACGCTCACACAATTCTCACACACACACACACATCACTCACCACACACACACTCACACACACTCCACACACACATATCACTCACACACACCACGCACACACACACACTACACACACACACCACTCACACACACATCACTCACACCACTCCACTCACACCACTCCACACTCACCACTCCACACACACACGTCGCTCACACACACCACTCCACACACACCACTCACACATCACTAACACGCTCACACACACACCACATATCACTCACACACACCACACACACACCACATATCACTCACACACACCACACACATCACTCACACACACCACTCACACGTATCACTCACACGCTCACACACACCACATCACTCACACACACACACATCACACACACATCACTCACACACACACCACACATCACTCACACATATCACTAACACGCTCACACACACCACACATACATCACTCACACACACACATCACACACACATCACTCACACACACCACACATACATCACTCACACACACATCACTCACACACACCACACATACATCACTCACACACACACCACACATATATCACTCACACACACACATATCACTCACACACACACATCACTCACACACACCACACATACATCACTCACACACACACCACGCATCACTCACACCTACCGCTGGCCGTCAGCAGGGGGCGAATCTGCGGACTGGTTGTTGGTGAAATCCCCGCGACCCAGCCTGACCCAGCCCATGCCTTGTGCCCAAAGGCTCAATAACGCCACCCAATAGTGTAGCGGACGTGTGGTGCGTGATGCGACGATGGCGGTGGTGGTCACTGGTAATAATGACACTATTTATAGTATAACCATCCCCGCCCTCCCATCGCAATGACCATGCTCAGCTGTTGCGACACGCACTGTCCTGGTTAATGACTGCGAGTGAATAGACGACGCGTCGTCACGCATCGGGGCCTTCGGGACATTGTGGCGGTCCGACGTTGAAAAAAGAACACAAAGTAACAGCGCAAAATGTTCTACTCGATTTGAATCAACACGGCACTCAACCTCCCCTCTTACTGCTAAAGCTTGGCACAGGACCCTGCTGAGTTTCGACAGTCGGCGTAAACAATCGGAATAACAATAACTAACGAGAAGCAACCCTTACACCGTCGTCATCGTATACATACCACCGCCAAAACCTCCAGCACCAGCACCCATAAAGTGGCTACCGTGAATGTTTGTGATGGCGTCGATTATGATGGCAATGATAATCATTGATGAAAGTGATGTTCATGTTGAACCCGAGGTTATTGGACGCTCACGAAAAAGTTAATGTTGTTTGCCGATGATGTTAATAATCGTGATGTTACCGCTGAGGTGAAGGCATGAAGGTCACACCGACAACATCGTTAGCAATGGCGATGTTGCCGATATGAACGTTGCTCATTCAGTCGCGACGATCGTCAATGATGTTAGAAGTTTAAACCCGGTCACCCCCACGGCGAATGGGGCGAACGGCGATGGGGCCTCCGACTTCACGACGCCTCTGACGACGTTAACAACGCGGCCGCTAGTGCCGACGGCATCGCCGCCCACGGCTGTAACGAGGAGCCCACGACGACGACGACGACGAGCAAGTGAATGGCGAGCTCCACAGCCTCGCTCGGCGAGCCACCGCCGAGGTGAATGACCACGCTGCCGTCAAGGACGTTGCCAATGACGCAGCTGCTACTGCCGCTGCTGCCGAACGCTGCCCGCGACGAGACACCGCCGCCTGTCGCCTACCTCGCCGCTCATGGCTCTGCTGCTGCTGCTGCAGAGCACCGCACGGACTCCCCGCGTCGCGCTCCGCCACACGGCTCCGCTCATCACCACCGCAGCCGCCATGCTCGATAGCGCCTCTCTGTCTGTCTCTCTCGCTCGCTCGCTCTTCCGCGGCCCCCACCCCAACTCGGGCACGCGGCGCAGCGCGCAGCCCCATTGGCTGAAGCCGCGCGCGTGGGGTCTGACGGCGCCTCGCGATTGGTCACACACGGCTACCCCCCCCCCCACCACCACCACCCCCACCCCAACGACAACCTCGTCTCGACCAATCGTGGACGCGCGCCGTCTCGTGCGCGGCAAGGTCGCGCGCGGCCTCGCCGGACGTGACGTCATACCCGCCTGCCATCTTCGTGAAGGTTGAAGAGGTACCAAAGCAGCGCCGCCATCTTAGTAAGGTGTTGATCTGAGAGGGGTTTTTTGTTTGTTGGGGTGAGATCTCGTCAATATAATGTGTCGTTAAAACCGCTACCACCTGACACAGCCAATTAGTGAGCTTTGTTTAACATCGGTCGCGAACGCCTACTCGGGATGTCCAGATGATGTCCCAAAAACAACCAATCGTCGCCGTTCGCCACTCACCGCCGTAGACGTCACAACGGCACCTGTGCCGGGCCACGTGCAACTTTGAGGCCACGTGCTAAGTGTCGAAGGCTCGCTGCTGGCAGGAGCCTACGGCAGACCCAGCAGGTGCCATAGATCGACTGACCGAGACGACTGGCAGATGCACCAACTGTGCTCCCCACTGTGCCAACTTGCTGCGTTTTATCCGCCCGGCGTTCCGCTCGTTGTTGTGAGCGTCGCTCTGCCCCCGTTGTTGTTGGAGGGTGGCTGCCTCCAAAAGACCAGCAGCGTCCTTCACGAGCCTCCTTCATAAAGGCCGATCTTGGAAGCAGTCTTCGGCAAGTCCACTCCGCTCCACATCCTCCAGTACTGCATCAGCCCATCTCTTCCCCAGCCCATGCCATTCACGAACTCACTCACCCAGCAGTCCATCTCTTCTCCAGCCCATGCCGCGCCCGTTTAGCCCCCTTCTATCCGGCTTAACAGAAGCTGATTGGGTTAGGCATGCGGGCTACATGACCCAGCTGACACATAAAGGCAAAGATTCCCTCGTATAGCCTTAACAGACTGTTGGGGCAAGTGTTGTTAGCGAGCACCTATTAAGGCCGATACAATACGCATGGGGGTGGGTGGCCAGCACCACGTCTGACCGCCTTTGTCTCCCCAGTGGCGATGTTTACACCGCACCAGATACTCTTTTCAGGCTGAGTCGACCTCTGGGAGACCCAGAACCGGTTCAGATAATCGTCACTGGTGTTGGCCGTGAGCGAGAATCGAACTCGTGTTGCCGGGCTCGTAGCGTGGTACGCTACCCGCTACACTACTGCTCCCCACTGCACACATACGAGGAGCGGGGAGGCAGGAGCAGGCACACGCTGGTGAGAAGCCAGAGCCAACCCCCCCCACCCCCAAGCTCTGCAGTCCTCTATAGATTAAGTTGTTATTGGCCAACCAATGAGAGTGTATACGTGGGAGGAAACCGGGGCACTCAGAGAAAACCCACGCGTGCGAAGGGGCAACACTCGATCCCACACAGATGGTGGAACAGGTGGAGTCCAAATTTGTGCTGTCCCAACTTCTGGCGATCCCAGGGTATAAGTTCTTTCTCGACGCCCACCCACGGGAAGAAAGTAGGAACAAATGAAGTTTAGTTTAACACGTAAGCTTTCACGACCAATATTATTCATAATACATAATTTTTTGGGTTAGATAAATGTGTTGTAACCCTCCATCGCCCGACACAGCCAGTAAGGTTTGTCACGTAAATAAAACGTGCCGATTAGTTACGACTTCAGCCCACCGGTGTGTTGGAGAGCACATCCACAACATTTGCAATTTGAGTACGACGTTTCAAGTTTATGTATTAGGTATAGCCCTGTAAGCCATTCGGCTCTTGAATCGGGTGTAACCGCAACAAAAAAAGAACATGAACAAGAAAACATCTTAAAGTGACTATGTACAAACAGAAAATCCAAGAAAAGACAGCTAAATATTGCAGAAAAAGCACCGTACACCAACACTATGTGCAAAAATCCCAGTGGGATGCAAGTCAAACAACAACAACCACAAGACAACTTAGATTAAGGCCATCAGTCTAGCTCTGTACTACAACAAACAAACATGACCAAACAAAAAACTTTTCGAAAATCACCAAAAAAAAGCCATAAAAGCAATGAAACAGTGATCATAGGAACTGTCGCTGGTAATTACGTTCCGATGGGGTTTAGTCCACATGCCGCTGTAGCGCCTTCTCCGCGCGAGCCAGGGAACGGCTCCCCCCCAGCCCCTCGACGCCCACGCACGGGGATGGAGTTGCACGCCATCCGCGCGTGGTCCACCAACCCTTCGCGGCAGCGTCCACAGCGCCGGGCGCCAGGCCGGCCCAAGCGCATCGCAGCCACCAGCGCCTCCCGGCTCCAGCAGAGGGCAGCCCGTCCCTTCCGTTCACTGGACTCTAGCGTTGTTGTTCAACAAGAACCCGTAACTGGTTTCCGTAAGAGTTTTTTTTCGGGGGGGGGGGGGGGGTTAGATCGCATAAATAGAAATGTTTCGTTAAACCTGCCACCACCACTCGACACAGCTAATTAGTAAGGTTTTTCACGGAAACAAAACGTGGCAATTAGTGACTGGAGAGTAAAAACATTTTGACAATTCGACGTTTCGCCAGTAATTACGACCAGCCTCATCAGGCGGCAGCCAGAATTGTGGAGACATCCTCCTCCTGTTTCTTAAACAGAGGCGCTAAATGCGATGTCACCACCTGTGAGCCAATCAGGTGGTCGCTAAAGATTTGCGAACCGGTTACCAGTTTCGACGAGTCCAGAACCGGTAACCGTTTGCAGTGGAATGTTTTCTAAATGAGGGGGGGCCCGTCCATCGAGGCGAAGGAGGCGGTCGCCTCGGGCGCCAAGTTAAGTGGGGCGCCAAACTCGAGGGGAAAATTACAAATTAAAATACAAATAAAATAACGAAGTCGTCATTATTTCAATTCAATCTTGGCTTGAAGCTTTCGTGACTGCAGGAATCCATTCTCTTTGGTTCTTTCGGTAAAGTCACGTGGGTAGAAAAAATAATAGCTCACGACGTTTCGATCGCCACACAGGCAAGCGTCTTCAGGTGTGAGAAGACGCTTGCCTGTGTGGCGATCGAAACGTCGTGAGCTATTGTTCTTTCTACCCACGTGACTTTACCAAAAGAACCAAAGAGTTTTATTTCAATTCCCGTGCGCAGACAGAGGGAATGTAAATTATAGTTAATATATTCTCGACATTGCTGAGAATGTATTGGTTGGACAGACGGACAAACCGAATAATTATGCCTCTGTTTAAAAAACAAATCCGCTTACAAAAACATTAAAACGGAAAATTGGGGGAAAATAATATTTCCAGTTTACCAAAAGTCTCATCCCAGATCTCCCCTTGGGGGTGGGGGCCCCGATTGCACGGCTCGCCTAGGGGGCGCCTGTTGCTGGCAGCTCGTCCATTGCCGCGTGCGGACAAACCGCACGCGGCACGAGGCGCCGCTCAAGGTGCCGGCGTTGCAACAATCGCGTCCTTTGAACGCGCGCCACCGCTGGCCGCCACGGGAGGGAATGATGTCCGTGGGATACGATTTGGCCTTTTGAAGAGGCGGCGGCGGCAGTGGCCACACTTTACCCCACCACACGTGAACTGCCGGTCGTAGACTTCACTGCGGCGAACCCACGTCCACTGCTGCTGGCGGGCAGAGGCAGTTGCGGGGGAGGAAGGGGGATTTGGGAAACTCGCCCCCGCCCCCCATTGTTTCAAATTAAACTCAAACTAGGAATGTGTGTTTGACCAGGGTAAGGCCCACCGCGTGATGTCGCTCTTTGTCAGAAGCGAGCTGGCTATCACAAATGAGAGCTCATCTTTATATTCTAAGGTTTTCGCTAAAGTCACGTAGGTAAAAAAATTAAATAAATAAAAGTATTTTATTTTTATTTAACTTTTATTAATTTTATTTTTTTACCTACGTGACTTTACCGAAAACCTTAGAATATGAATCCTTGCAGTCACGAAAGCTTCAAATCTAGAATGCGAGCTCATCGTCGTGTGGACATGTGCGGCAGCAGCCAGCTGCACTCGACACGCACGTTCGTTCTACACGTGGAGGCAGAAACCAAACGGATGCCATGCCGCCAGACGGAATCGCGACCGCGTCCGCTGGTCCGTTGCGACACCGCCCGGAGCTCCGCCAGTTTGGTGACGGCTGCTGCTGCTGCGACTCTCATCCAGACAGCCCAACGCTCTCGTGTCTTAAAGCACCCAGATATTTCTAACTGTGCGGTAAAGAAAACGGTTCGAACCGGTTTCTACCGCTTTTCTCCACGTGGTAAGAGATCCGACTTTAAGAACCTGATCACACCCCCCCCCCCCCCCTCTGCCGCCCGCCTTCTATTTTTCACGGCTCATCATCAGACACGATCTCTCCACTGCTGGACGAAGGCCTGCCGCGAGGCGCCACTGCCACCTTCCACGACCCCGAGAACGATGAACCCGCCCAGGTGCTGCTCTCCACGCGAGCTGACTTCATCTGCGGCGTCTCCATCGGTGGGGGCTGGGCTAGGCTGGGCTAGGACGCGCTCCCTCCGTTGGCTGCCACTCGCACAAGTCTCGACCCACCGGGGAGCACCGGGCAGCCGCACCCGTCACGTGACACGCCTCTCTACGGGCGTCGTGTCCGTCTCAAGGCCTATTAATGCCTAATCGACATCGCTATCATCATCACCATCGCTATCATATTCGCCATCGCTATAATCATCATCATCACTATCATCATCGCCATCACCATCTCCATCATCATCATAGCCATCATCATCGCCATCATCATCATCGCCATCATCATCGCTATCATCATCGCCATCATCATCGCCATCATCGTCGCCATCGCTATCGTCATCATCGTCATTTTCATCGGTCAATGGAAACGAGGCAATACAAACGAGACAGGCCAATGGCATTGGCGAGTTGTGTGGTGAGTGTGATGATGGTGAGTTGTGTGGTGAGTATGATGATGATGAGTTGTGTAGTGAGTGTGATGATGATGAGTGTGATGATGGTGAGTTGTGTGGCGAGTGTGATGATGGTGAGTTGTGTGGTGAGTGTAATGATGGTGAGTTGTGTGGTGAGTGTGGTGATGGTGAGTTGTGTGGTGAGTGTGATGATGGTGAGTTGTGTGGTGAGTGTGATGATGGTGAGTTGTGTGGTGAGTGTGATGATGGTGAGTTGTGTGGTGAGTGTGGTGATGGTGAGTTGTGTGGTGAGTGTAATGATGGTGAGTTGTGTGGTGAGTGTGATGATGGTGAGTTGTGTGGTGAGTGTGATGATGGTGAGTTGTATGGTGAGTGTGGTGATGGTGAGTGTGATGATGGTGAGTTGTGTGGTGAGTGTGATGATGGTGAGTTGTGTGGTGAGTGTGATGATGGTGAGTTGTGTGGTGAGTGTGATGATGGTGGGTTGTGTGGTGAGTGTGGTGATGGTGAGTTGTGTGGTGAGTGTGATGATGGTGAGTTGTGTGGTGAGTGTGATGATGATGAGTTGTGTGGTGAGTGTGATGATGGTGAGTGTGTGGTGAGTGTGATGATGGTGAGTTGTGTGGTGAGTGTAATGATGGTGAGTTGTGTGGTGAGTGTAATGAGGTGAGTTGTGTGGTGAGTGTGATGATGGTGAGTTGTGTGGTGAGTGTGGTGATGGTGAGTTGTGTGGTGAGTGTGATGATGGTGAGTTGTGTGGTGAGTGTGATGATGGTGAGTTGTGTGGTGAGTGTAATGATGGTGAATTGTGTGGTGAGTGTGATGATGGTGAGTTGTGTGGTGAGTGTGATGATGGTGAGTTGTGTGGTGAGTGTGATGATGGTGAGTTGTATGGTGAGTGTGGTGATGGTGAGTTGTGTGGTGAGTGTGATGATGGTGAGTTGTGTGGTGAGTGTAATGATGGTGAGTTGTGTGGTGAGTGTAATGATGGTGAGTTGTGTGGTGAGTGTGATGATGGTGAGTTGTGTGGTGAGTGTGGTGATGGTGAGTTGTGTGGTGAGTGTGATGATGGTGAGTTGTGTGGTGAGTGTGATGATGGTGAGTTGTGTGGTGAGTGTAATGATGGTGAATTGTGTGGTGAGTGTGGTGATGGTGAGTTGTGTGGTGAGTGTGATGATGGTGAGTTGTGTGGTGAGTGTGATGATGGTGAGTTGTGTGGTGAGTGTGATGATGGTGAGTTGTATGGTGAGTGTGGTGATGGTTAGTTGTGTGGTGAGTGTGATGATGGTGAGTTGTGTGGTGAGTGTGATGATGGTGAGTTGTGTGGTGAGTGTGATGATGGTGAGTTGTGTGGTGAGTGTGGTGATGGTGAGTTGTGTGGTGAGTGTGATGATGGTGAGTTGTGTGGTGAGTGTAATGATGGTGAGTTGTGTGGTGAGTGTGATGATGGTGAGTTGTGTGGTGAGTGTAATGATGGTGAATTGTGTGGTGAGTGTGATGATGGTGAGTTGTGTGGTGAGTGTGATGATGGTGAGTTGTGTGGTGAGTGTAATGATGGTGAGTTGTGTGGTGAGTGTAATGATGGTGAGTTGTGTGGTGAGTGTGATGATGGTGAGTTGTGTGGTGAGTGTGATGATGGTGAGTTGTGTGGTGAGTGTGATGATGGTGAGTTGTGTGGTGAGTGTGATAATGGTGAGTTGTGTGGTGAGTGTGGTGATGGTGAGTTGTGTGGTGAGTGTGATGGTGAGTTGTGTGGTGAGTGTAATGATGGTGAGTTGTGTGGTGAGTGTGATGATGGTGAGTTGTGTGGTGAGTGTAATGATGGTGAGTTGTGTGGTGAGTGTAATGATGGTGAGTTGTGTGGTGAGTGTGATGATGGTGAGTTGTGTGGTGAGTGTGATGATGGTGAGTTGTGTGGTGAGTGTGATGATGGTGAGTTGTGTGGTGAGTGTGATAATGGTGAGTTGTGTGGTGAGTGTGGTGATGGTGAGTTGTGTGGTGAGTGTGATGGTGAGTTGTGTGGTGAGTGTAATGATGGTGAGTTGTGTGGTGAGTGTGATGATGGTGAGTTGTGTGATGAGTGTGATGGTGAGTTGTGTGGTGAGTGTAATGATGGTGAGTTGTGTGGTGAGTGTAATGATGGTGAGTTGTGTGGTGAGTGTGATGATGGTGAGTTGTGTGGTGAGTGTAATGATGGTGAATTGTGTGGTGAGTGTGATGATGGTGAGTTGTGTGGTGAGTGTGGTGATGGTGAGTTGTGTGGTGAGTGTGGTGATGGTGAGTTGTGTGGTGAGTGTGATGATGGTGAGTTGTGTGGTGAGTGTGGTGATGGTGAGTTGTGTGGTGAGTGTGATGATGGTGAGTTGTGTGGTGAGTGTAATGATGGTGAATTGTGTGGTGAGTGTGATGATGGTGAGTTGTGTGGTGAGTGTGATGATGGTGAGTTGTGTGGTGAGTGTGATGATGGTGAGTTGTATGGTGAGTGTGGTGATGGTGAGTTGTGTGGTGAGTGTGATGATGGTGAGTTGTGTGGTGAGTGTAATGATGGTGAGTTGTGTGGTGAGTGTAATGATGGTGAGTTGTGTGGTGAGTGTGATGATGGTGAGTTGTGTGGTGAGTGTGGTGATGGTGAGTTGTGTGGTGAGTGTGATGATGGTGAGTTGTGTGGTGAGTGTGATGATGGTGAGTTGTGTGGTGAGTGTAATGATGGTGAATTGTGTGGTGAGTGTGGTGATGGTGAGTTGTGTGGTGAGTGTGATGATGGTGAGTTGTGTGGTGAGTGTGATGATGGTGAGTTGTGTGGTGAGTGTGATGATGGTGAGTTGTATGGTGAGTGTGGTGATGGTTAGTTGTGTGGTGAGTGTGATGATGGTGAGTTGTGTGGTGAGTGTGATGATGGTGAGTTGTGTGGTGAGTGTGATGATGGTGAGTTGTGTGGTGAGTGTGGTGATGTGAGTTGTGTGGTGAGTGTGATGATGGTGAGTTGTGTGGTGAGTGTAATGATGGTGAGTTGTGTGGTGAGTGTGATGATGGTGAGTTGTGTGGTGAGTGTAATGATGGTGAATTGTGTGGTGAGTGTGATGATGGTGAGTTGTGTGGTGAGTGTGATGATGGTGAGTTGTGTGGTGAGTGTAATGATGGTGAGTTGTGTGGTGAGTGTAATGATGGTGAGTTGTGTGGTGAGTGTGATGATGGTGAGTTGTGTGGTGAGTGTGATGATGGTGAGTTGTGTGGTGAGTGTGATGATGGTGAGTTGTGTGGTGAGTGTGATGATGGTGAGTTGTGTGGTGAGTGTGGTGATGGTGAGTTGTGTGGTGAGTGTGATGGTGAGTTGTGTGGTGAGTGTAATGATGGTGAGTTGTGTGGTGAGTGTGATGATGGTGAGTTGTGTGATGAGTGTGATGGTGAGTTGTGTGGTGAGTGTAATGATGGTGAGTTGTGTGGTGAGTGTAATGATGGTGAGTTGTGTGGTGAGTGTGATGATGGTGAGTTGTGTGGTGAGTGTAATGATGGTGAATTGTGTGGTGAGTGTGATGATGGTGAGTTGTGTGGTGAGTGTGGTGATGGTGAGTTGTGTGGTGAGTGTGGTGATGGTGAGTTGTGTGGTGAGTGTGATGATGGTGAGTTGTGTGGTGAGTGTGGTGATGGTGAGTTGTGTGGTGAGTGTGATGATGGTGAGTTGTGTGGTGAGTGTGGTGATGGTGAGTTGTGTGGTGAGTGTGGTGATGGTGAGTTGTGTGGTGATGGTGAGTTGTGTGGTGAGTGTGGTGATGGTGAGTTGTGTGGTGAGTGTGAAGATGGTGAGTTGTGTGGTGAGTGTGATGATGGTGAGTTGTGTGGTGAGTGTGATGATGGTGAGTTGTGTGGTGAGTGTGGTGATGGTGAGTTGTGTGGTGAGTGTGATGATGGTGAGTTGTGTGGTGAGTGTGGTGATGGTGAGTTGTGTGGTGAGTGTGGTGATGGTGAGTTGTGTGGTGAGTGTGGTGATGGTGAGTTGTGTGGTGAGTGTGATGATGGTGAGTTGTGTGGTGAGTGTGATGATGGTGAGTTGTGTGGTGAGTGTGGTGATGGTGAGTTGTGTGGTGAATGTGGTGATGGTGAGTTGTGTGGTGAGTGTGGTGATGGTGAGTTGTGTGGTGAGTGTGATGTTGGTGAGTTGTGTGGTGAGTGTGGTGATGGTGAGTTGTGTGGTGAGTGTGGTGATGGTGAGTTGTGTGGTGAGTGTGATGATGATGAGTTGTGTGGTGATGGTGAGTTGTGTGGTGAGTTGTGTGGTGAGTGTGGTGATGGTGAGTTGTGTGGTGAGTGTGGTGATGCTGGGTTGTGTGGTGAGTGTGATGATGATGAGTTGTGTGGTGAGTGTGGTGATGGTGAGTTGTGTGGTGAGTGTGATGATGGTGAGTTGTGTGGTGAGTGTGGTGATGGTGAGTTGTGTGGTGAGTGTGATGATGGTGAGTTGTGTGGTGAGTGTGGTGATGGTGAGTTGTGTGGTGAGTGTGATGATGATGAGTTGTGTGGTGAGTGTGGTGATGGTGAGTTGTGTGGTGAGTGTGATGATGGTGAGTTGTGTGGTGAGTG